CATCGAGATGTTATGGTTTTACATTTCTTAGGATCGTCCTCAGTCAGCCTTTGACAAGAAATGCAAGGCACTGTATGGTTGGCGTTGACTGCAGTCAGGAATTCTAAATACTGTTTAGGAAAGTTTTCTTCCATAAACTGCTCATTTATGATTTGTTCCGGTCTCTCAACCTTGAACGTTTTTTCTGCAATCAGGGGTTCGTATTGCAGCAGTTTAATCAAATACTCGATATCCCCTGTTGCAGTTGCCGTATCCAAGTCTGACACAAATTGGTCGGCTGTTTTCATTTCATTGACAGTCTTATAGATAGATCGAGCATTTTTGGAGTGGACGCTCAATTGTCTCAGCAGAACTAAGTCACTTGAGCACTTGTTCTTCGCCTCCCTCCTTAAACAGATTTCGGGGTGATTACGCTGCTCGACTATCAAGCTGTAGATTTCATTTGCTTTGACATTGCCACACTTGTTTGACTCTTGAACGAAGGTTCTGGAATTTCTCACTTCTAAATTTTTGCATCTTGCCAAGAAGTCTTTGAAGCGAGTTACTGCAAAACCCCCAGCAGGAATGCAGTCGGTAGTACATCGTTCACTTTTTCTCGTTTCCTCTCTGCTCTTCTTTGAAGCCTTGTTGTAACGAAATGTGAATGGCTCCCCACCGAGAAAGCTGTACATAGGAAAGTAAGGTTCCGTACCTTTTCTGTGACATTTATAGCCAAGGATGCTGTCATGGCGCTTCTCTTCAGATGTGTCCAACTTTTCTTTGTTGAGAAGCTGCTCCGATGTCAAGTTCAACTTATGACAACGGCCATATAAAACTTTGATCCACAGATCACGGCTGTTCAAAATTCTCCTCTGAAGCTGTGATGCGACAAAATTCTTTTTGTAATGGTTGGTTTTTCCTTTAAAATTGAGAGACGGGTACCATTTTTTAATGATGCTGTTGGTATTCATTCAAATGCTCCATCATCAATCGAATAACGGCATTTTTCCATGTCAGCCTGCTCTTTGACCTCATGAACGTTTTCGATTTGAAAGTTCCTCTTTTTGAAACATATGGTAGGTTAGGGAGGAAGACACTTTTTCTGAACCCCTTGATCTTCTCCTTGTGTAACAGGAATTGCAATTTTTTATTGTTGCGGGTCGTGTGCGTCCTTATCTGTTTCATGGCCTGCTTCCTTTTCAAGCAATAATCTATGTCATCGTCAAAATCTTCCCCAAATTCTTCAAACAATCTGCTTCGGCGATACCGAGTTCTTCTAGACTGCGACAGTTTTTCTTTCTTCGAATCTTCATAATCCTTCCGTTTTTGCCTGGTTTCTGGTTTTTGCCTAAACATTCGGAGTCCTTCCTTCATTCGATCGTTCACATGTGGGACTGATCTATATTTCTTAGCTGCTGATCTGCCGCCGGGAGAAGAGTGGTACTGGCTTTTTGCTTTGTTTAGTGCAGATCTGCCACCGGGAGAATTGAAGTACCTACTTTGTGCAGATCTGCCGCCGGGAGAAGAGAAGTACTTGCTTTTTGCTTTGTTTAGCGCAGATCTGCCACCGGGAGAAGAGTGGTACTGGCTGTTTGCTTTGTTTAGTGCAGATCTGCCGCCGGGAGAAGAGTGGTACTTGCTTTTTGCTTTGTTTAGCGCAGATCTGCCACCGGGAGAAGAGTGGTACTGGCTGTTTGCTTTGTTTAGTGCAGATCTGCCGCCGGGAGAAGAGTGGTACTTGCTTTTTGCTTTGTTTAGCGCAGATCTGCCACCGGGAGAAGAGTGGTAGCGAATGTTTCGTAATGCACGCTTCATTTTTCTTAGTAGATATTTTTCACTTTCCTTAGGATCTTGCTCTTCATTCAATAGGGATTCTTCATCCATTGTCATTCCATCATCTGAAGGCGAACTTTGTATTTCACTTTCCTTAGCATCTTGCTTCTCATTCATTAGGTATTCTTCATCCATTGTTATTCCATCATCTGAAGGAAAACTTTGTCTTTCACTTTCCTTAGCATATTTCTCCTCATTCATTAGGTATTCTTCATCCTCTTTCATTCTATCATCTGAAGGCGAACTATTTCTTTCACTTTCCCTTTTGAAAGGCTGATCATCTCTCTGATTATCTTTGAACAAAGAATTCCTGCTGCTTTCAAGACTGTCTTCTTCGGGAAAATCTGAAATACAATGTACAGAAATATTTTCACATGAACTGCATAAAGAATATAATCGTTATTATTATTACGATTATAACAAACAGGCTGGTGAAAAGATTTGGTGCGAGTCTCAAATATATTCATATTCTCGGGATCTAAGATAATAAAGTACCGACGCGTACATACTACATGTAGTGAGATATTTTGGCCTAACATACGACAGCTGTGCAGCGAGGCTAGCTATTCGCGGAGAAACTTATAAAATTCAAATAGCAATGTGATTGATAGCACCCTCCTGATCTAATCTATTTTTAATGAGTTTGTTTACCTTTTAATCGTAAAGTATTAGCCAAAGGCTAAATATCGTTACATGGAGGGTTTACGTTCATATTGAGACTGTGAAATATGTAATAATTGACCGGATATTATAATTTAAGCTCAAACAATATGCGTACGTAATTATTAAAAAATACGTACAGTGCGTACTTTGTGGCCAATGTGTTGATTATTTTTGTGTTTAGAAGTGGCATGTATTTCAAAAATGTGCAATGAAAATAACATTTCAAAGTGAAAGAAGGGACATTAGAATTAACAAATTGTGGAATATTTTGTGACGTTTATGATTGCATCATGCACGTTAAACTATAATATTTCTAATTAAAGCTGAAAAGTGCGGCTGTAGATTGAAAATGATAAATATAACAAGTCGAAGCAGTCTCGAAGGTTACGAAAGCCTTCTAATGCCAGACATTGAGGATCATAATACTAAATTATCAATAAGACCTGCGGACAGAAAGCTGCTCTATCAAAAAATCACCAAATTGTAAAAGTAATTATATCCTCAACTTATAAACACAACTCTTATAACATTTTCTTACCTTTTTTGTGTACGGAAGACTCAGAAGTTTGCTTTTTATATTTCCTTCCTATTCGTTTTCTCTTCGAATTTCTCTTGAAACTCTTTGTGAATTGTTTGTCTGTTCCTCCTCCACTAATGTCTTTGATGATTTCGCACTGGGAATGAAGTATAAGAAACCTCAAAATGAACCAAGTTGTCGTATATAAGAAGTTGGTCATGCAAATAATTATAATTGTGAGATTTAATTAAATTTACGACTAGACTTACTTTAGCTGCTTTCTTTCTTCTTTTTGCAGTCCTTTTTTCATATTTTTCTTCTTCTTCGATAGATATCAATCTTTGTATGATTTCTATTTCGTCAAACTGCTTTAGAAATTGTATCTCTAACTGTAAAGCCTTAGCCTGCAAATTGTTCTTCATGTAATTCGTTACAATATCGATGTTTAAGTACCTTTTGATATATTTCAATCGCTACGTATTATAATTTATTTCTTTAGGAAGGAGTGTTAATTAGTCTGCATTGAATGCGCATAAAAAAGATTTAATTAAAAACATCAAAATATTTCAAAATACAAATTTTACAAACTTTTCGTTTTTCTTCTTTCTTTTTGTTTCGCTGAGCTCTTGTTTTTCTAACGGGTTTCTTTTTTTGTGCGACAGCTTCATCCCCTGTTGTCTTATTTTCGTATGAATGACATTTTTCCTGCAATTTTGTGCAATATTATAATTAATGTAAATATTGGTAAAGTGTAAATTTTATGCGACCTATAATGATTTTACGCTGCACAATTTTACAGCTAAATAAAACAAAAATGTCTCATAATTAATTACAAGTCAGAAACAAACAGTTATGGATGCAAATAATTATAATCTTACATTTTTTGAATTGTTGCACAGCTGTTCTTCTAGGCCTAGTCTTTCGAATCCGTTGTGTAAATTAATTCCAAATGATAGGGATTCTGTTCTGCATTGTCCATGTTTGTTTTTACTCACCTTAGCTTTATAAGCCTGCCAATGTTTCTCGTAATTGTATAGAAAGTAAAAAATAATCGATTGTAATTATCATTAATCTAATCGTACTTTGATAAGCTTTTTTTTAATATCAAAGTTAAGTTACAAACTTTTTGTTTTCTTTCTTTCTTCTTGGATCTCTGAGCTTGTGTCGTTTTACATTTAATGTTTTTCTGTTTCAGTACAAGAACTCCACCCCCGGTTGTCGTATTTTCACATAGGTAATCGTTTTCCTGTAATTTTCATTGACTTAAAAAAAGCTTTGTCTAATAATCTAAACAAACTCGAGATTGACACTATTACTAATCTATTTTGTGTTTTAGTCTACAGCAACCTGAATTTAATAACAAAGGATCCAAAAAAATGGGGTAATCATTAAATTAACAGTTTTACTCACCCTCTGGACATGACAATTTTCAGGAGCTTCAGAGGATGCCAACCCATAAATGAGCGTTGGATTTGAGACAACTTGACTCCAAAGTTCCTGTAAAACATGCTTTTTATGAAACTTCTTAAAATATCTTTTCCGGAAATAAAATAAGTATCCACAATACAGCTAATTGACCGTGCAACAACATGATAAAATAATTGAGATTTTGTCATTTTCACTCCCCTGAAAAATAATTATTATTAAACGGATGTCACCTTTTCGAAAAAGTCTTAACTGATTTATACAAAGAGGTTGTAATAATTCAATTAATAATCAATATTACTGTCCATATTCTGAAAATTGAGGAGCTTCTAATATATTTTTACGAGACCAAAATAATAAGATTTATATTTATATTTTATAACTATGGTCCCTTAAATTAACGAAAACTAATAAAATGAAAATTGATATAGTTGAGAGTTAACTCACCCAGCCTAAAACCACTGGAGTTTGTACTAGACAGTGTATACAGCTGCACTGCTCCCCATTATTTGAACCAATATTATGCGTAATGAATACCGTAACTCTCTAACATTGGAAATGGAATGTTGTATTATCAACTGCTATGCGTGAGTTTTGAGTAGTACTCAAGACTCAAATGACTCAATGAGTACACTAGACACAAAGTTTGAACAAAATGTGCAACAAAATATGTTTACTCAAAACTACAATTATTATACCTATATAATAAATGTCTGGTATGAAAATAAAACGATGCATTATTTTGTCGATATGATTATAATTGGACATACCTGGATTTTTATTCTCTCTGACCAGGCCGTTATAAGTTGAGCTCTGGGTCCTGACATGTCAGCTATTGCACGATGCAAATGTTATCCACTACATAAAATAAATTATTGGTTACTGAAAACCTCCTATTTTACATATTTAACAGTATACGGATGAAAAAAGAGGACAACCCCTTATCATGTGTGATTTTACCGAATATTACGTTAACGGACATTATAAAATTCCAGGATAACTTTTTTCAATTTCACAAAAAAAAGATGATCAAGGAGGCCGAAGAAAATAATGCCATAATGCGATTTAGCCAGAACTAGCACTTTGTAATACTAATAACTTGTTTCAGTGGATCCAATCATATCATTTAGGGCTAAGCCACTCTCCAGTCGAGCTATAAGGTTTTTCTAAAAGTGCAAGGGCCCCCGACAATTAAAACCAACTTAAAACATGCATTTCTGAACACTGACTCCGTATCACCAAACAGGACACAGGTTTAAAATGTTGTCTCGATCACGTGACATGACCGTATGAAATAATTTATTTGGAAAACTGAAAATGACTGACGCAAAGACTAAGATAATCAAATTAATTAAATGAAATTTAATGTATATTTTTATTTAAGGGTCGCAATAAAGCTTCAATAATATGATTTTGTTTCACATTTATGCCACGTAGAGGCAGACAAAGAAGGTGCCCGATGTATGCAAAGCCGTAAAATTATTTGTGACCTTGACAGACACAAGGCCAAAAAATCATTACTTACAAGGGAAAATGAGCAAAATAAATATTTCAAAGCTTTTATAACAAAGGACACAACTTGAAAAAATCTTTCCAAGACTGAAGCGAGAGGTGGGTTTTTATACTTCATGCTACAATCTGGTTTAATTAACTACAGCCAGGAAACTCCCAGCAATTTACGTCACAATCGCGTCAGATATCATCATTAATTATATGACGACATTATTAAATTTTGTTCTTGTATCTTCATTCCTCACCATATATGGTTACTCAGTACTCTTGCTGTTACGCAATCCGTACTAAAAAATTAACACCATGGTCAATAGGGTTTCATTTTACACGTTTAACAGACAACCCACGAGAATTCAACACTAGAACAGGTTATCTCTGACGTAGGTGAAAATTGTCAGGTGTGTTTTGTTAGTCGATAAGCAAAGGAATTCAATTTGTTACAAATCAATTTACGTCATAGTTGTGAGAAACCATGAAGGTCACAGTTTTCGTCAAAACCTTATGTTCTGTCACTTAGTAGACGTATTTCGAGTTGGGAAATTATGATCAAAGCGTGAACTCGACATTCTAGTTTTGGGTATCAATTAGCGTTTCCATCAGTTTCCAGTAACAGATTTCTGTCAAAAAGCTTAAAACAGTATTTGTCTACTATACCCATAATTATTGATTATGAGTTTTGGTAAACGATCAACTCTTTTTGTTTAATGTCAGGGTCAACTGATAACTTAATTAATCAGTTATAAGTTAATAATTATAAAGATGCAATTTCAACGTCTTAAAATTGCATTAAAACATTTCCTTGTGTTTAGGTAGGCATATCTGTCGATAGCACACTGAATATGGCACTTTTTACTCATTTCATATATAATGCCATTTAAATATCGTGGGAAAGCAGAATATATTCGAAATCACGAATGAGCAAAATGCTCACCTTTCGCACGTGCAAACTTTAAGCGGACGTTGCGTGCGCATACAATATTGAATCACCGTAAATTTTTGCATAGTGGTATTTTATATATAGTTTGATAAGCATGCAAAGTTTCAGAAAAATTCAAATAGAACTTGAATCACAACGGGACTCCAAAGTTGATAAAAATCGTGAAAATAACAATTTTCAGTGATTTTAGCAATTTTAAATCAATTTGGGCGTGTCCCCACGTGTGCAACTTTTCGATTTTCAACTTTAAAACTAGCCTATAACACAATTTAGACCTTTAGATAGCACAATTGAGCTCCACAACCCAAGGGATGGCCCAACACCAGAGAATACTGATTCACAACTTTTGTGTTTTTATACAATTATTCTTCAAAAAAGCACTAACTTCAATAGCGAATATCTTTATGAAGGAGCAAAGTAGGAACATTTTCCGGTAGATTTTCAGAATGCTTGAACAATTATCTAAGATGAAAATATCCTCAGATTTTGAATAAAATTACTCCTTAATGGTTTAAAATCGATTTTAAAAGTTGTTATTTTGTCAAAAATCAAGTTTTAAAAACACTTAACTTGATGACGTCATCAAGTGATGATGATGACGTTAAATTATTTTTCAATATAATGTAAACTAAAGTATAAACAATTATCTTTAAAACCTGTGGTTCGAAATGACTCTATCTTTTATACTTTTGAATCTACGGACACTTACATGTAGGCTACAATTGACTGCCAAAGCGTCTATACATATATACATATTATATACTATACTTCACGACAATCTGTTGTAAAACAGGGGTTCCAGGAAACCCACTTCCCGATACTCCTGAAACTTGAGATTTCATTTACACTCGATTTGGTCAACGTCTAGACACCCTGCAAAGTTTCAGATCTCTTACTCATTTTTAACGTGGTTTTTAAGGCACCTGAATATGGCGATTTTGGGTTTTTTACCTAATTTCGTATAACATGCTGGCGCGTATTTTGCACAAATTTTTTGAAATCCTCCAAATAACTATTTCTATCGAATTAGAATGGGGGTAAACAGTAAGGGGGGAAAATAGTAAAGGGGGTAAATAGTAAAGGGGGAAATAGTAAAGGGGGTAAATAGTAAAGGGGGTAAATAGTAAAGGGGGTAAATAGTAAAGGGGGTAAATAGTAAAGGGGGTAAATAGTAAAGGGGGTAAATAGTAAAGGGGGTAAATAGTAAAGGGGGTAAATAGCAGAGGGGGTAAATAGTAAAGGGGGTAAATAGTAAAGGGGGTAAATAGTAAAGGAGGTAAATAGTAAAGGGGGTAAATAGTATTGTGAATATAAGAGCGGCGGTCATGCTTGCCAGCATTGTGATTACCTAATTTCGTATAACATGCTGGCGCGTATTTTGCACAAATTTTTTGAAATCCTCCAAATAACTATTTCTATCGAATTAGAATGGGGGTAAACAGTAAGGGGGGAAAATAGTAAAGGGGGTAAATAGTAAAGGGGGAAATAGTAAAGGGGGTAAATAGTAAAGGGGGTAAATAGTAAAGGGGGTAAATAGTAAAGGGGGTAAATAGTAAAGGGGGTAAATAGTAAAGGGGGTAAATAGTAAAGGGGGTAAATAGTAAAGGGGGTAAATAGCAGAGGGGGTAAATAGTAAAGGGGGTAAATAGTAAAGGGGGTAAATAGTAAAGGGGGTAAATAGTAAAGGGGGTAAATAGTAAAGGGGGTAAATAGTATTGTGAATATAAGAGCGGCGGTCATGCTTGCCAGCATTGTGATGTTCTTAAACGCTAACAGTCATCTTGCATTACGGTTTTTTTGATGTCAGTACTAATTTTTATCTCAGAGCCAAAAATCCAAATGCTTTACAAAAATGTATTTCAGACGTTGAATCAGTACACAAAGATGTGAAGAAGGGCTCAGATACAACTATATCCTGTGTTATCACTGGATTGACAGAAACAGAAACAGTGACCTGGCGAACTAGTACTGGACCAGTTCCAGCTGAAAAGTTCACCCATGTTCAAGGAAGCCAATCCGGAGGGACTCAGACATCAACTCTTGCTGTTGACGGAACTCTTGTGAATAAAGATACTGCCTACACTTGCAGAGTCACTACCGGATCTTTACCTGATTCCAGCCACTCGGATAGCACCGTCAATCTTAACGTATACGGTATGTTCTTAAATGCTAACAGTCATCTTGCATTACGGTTTTTTAATGTCAGTACTAATTTTTATCGTACAGCCTAAATAGAATTTATTTTACAAAAAATGCTTCAGATGTTGAATCAGTACACAAAGAAGTGAAGAAGGGCTCAGATACAACCATATCCTGTGTTATCACTGGATTGACAGAAACAGCAATAGTGACCTGGCGAACTAGTACTGGACCAGTTCCAGCTGAAAAGTTCACCCATGTTCATGGAAGCCAATCCGGAGGGACTCAGACATCAACTCTTGCTGTTGACGGAACTCTTGTGAATGAAAATACTGCCTACACTTGCAGAGTCACTACCGGATCTTTACCTGATTCCAGCCACTCGGATAGCACCGTCAATCTTAACGTATACGGTATGTTCTTAAACGCTAACAGTCATCTTGCATTACGGTTTTTTTTGATGTCAGTACTCATTTTTATCTCAGAGCCAAAAATCCAAATGCTTTACAAAAATGTATTTCAGACGTTGAATCAGTACACAAAGATGTGAAGAAGGGCTCAGATACAACTATATCCTGTGTTATCACTGGATTGACAGAAACAGCAACAGTGACCTGGCGAACTAGTACTGGACCAGTTCCAGCTGAAAAGTTCACCCATGTTCAAGGAAGCCAATCCGGAGGGACTCAGACATCAACTCTTGCTGTTGACGGAACTCTTGTGAATAAAGATACTGCCTACACTTGCAGAGTCACTTCCGGATCTTTACCTGATTCCAGCCACTCGGATACCACCGTCAATCTTAACGTATACGGTATGTTCTTAAATGCTAACAGTCATCTTGCATTACGGTTTTTTTTGATGTCAGTACTAATTTTTATCTCAGAGCCAAAAATCCAAATGCTTTACAAAAATGTATTTCAGACGTTGAATCAGTACACAAAGATGTGAAGAAGGGCTCAGATACAACTATATCCTGTGTTATCACTGGATTGACAGAAACAGCAACAGTGACCTGGCGAACTAGTACTGGACCAGTTCCAGCTGAAAAGTTCACCCATGTTCAAGGAAGCCAATCCGGAGGGACTCAGACATCAACTCTTGCTGTTGACGGAACTCTTGTGAATAAAGATACTGCCTACACTTGCAGAGTCACTTCCGGATCTTTACCTGATTCCAGCCACTCGGATACCACCGTCAATCTTAACGTATACGGTATGTTCTTAAATGCCAACAGTCATCTTGCATTACGGTTTTTTTTGATGTCAGTACTAATTTTTATCTCAGAGCCAAAAATCCAAATGCTTTACAAAAATGTATTTCAGACGTTGAATCAGTACACAAAGATGTGAAGAAGGGCTCAGATACAACTATATCCTGTGTTATCACTGGATTGACAGAAACAGCAACAGTGACCTGGCGAACTAGTACTGGACCAGTTCCAGCTGAAAAGTTCACCCATGTTCAAGGAAGCCAATCCGGAGGGACTCAGACATCAACTCTTGCTGTTGACGGAACTCTTGTGAATAAAGATACTGCCTACACTTGCAGAGTCACTACCGGATCTTTACCTGATTCCAGCCACTCGGATAGCACCGTCAATCTTAACGTATACGGTATGTTCTTAAATGCTAACAGTCATCTTGCATTACGGTTTTTTAATGTCAGTACTAATTTTTATCTTACAGCCTAAATAGAATTTATTTTACAAAAAATGCTTCAGATGTTGAATCAGTACACAAAGAAGTGAAGAAGGGCTCAGATACAACCATATCCTGTGTTATCACTGGATTGACAGAAACAGCAACAGTGACCTGGCGAACTAGTACTGGACCAGTTCCAGCTGAAAAGTTCACCCATGTTCATGGAAGCCAATCCGGAGGGACTCAGACATCAACTCTTGCTGTTGACGGAACTCTTGTGAATGAAAATACTGCCTACACTTGCAGAGTCACTACCGGATCTTTACCTGATTCCAGCCACTCGGATAGCACCGTCAATCTTAACGTATACGGTATGTTCTTATACGCTAACAGTCATCTTGCATTACGGTTTTTTTTTATGTCAGTACTCATTTTTATCTCAGAGCCAAAAATCCAAATGCTTTACAAAAATGTATTTCAGACGTTGAATCAGTACACAAAGATGTGAAGAAGGGCTCAGATACAACTATATCCTGTGTTATCACTGGATTGACAGAAACAGCAACAGTGACCTGGCGAACTAGTACTGGACCAGTTCCAGCTGAAAAGTTCACCCATGTTCAAAGAAGCCAATCCGGAGGGACTCAGACATCAACTCTTGCTGTTGACGGAACTCTTGTGAATAAAGATACTGCCTACACTTGCAGAGTCACTTCCGGATCTTTACCTGATTCCAGCCACTCGGATACCACCGTCAATCTTAACGTATACGGTATGTTCTTAAATGCCAACAGTCATCTTGCATTACGGTTTTTTTTGATGTCAGTACTAATTTTTATCTCAGAGCCAAAAATCCAAATGCTTTACAAAAATGTATTTCAGACGTTGAATCAGTACACAAAGATGTGAAGAAGGGCTCAGATACAACTATATCCTGTGTTATCACTGGATTGACAGAAACAGCAACAGTGACCTGGCGAACTAGTACTGGACCAGTTCCAGCTGAAAAGTTCACCCATGTTCAAGGAAGCCAATCCGGAGGGACTCAGACATCAACTCTTGCTGTTGACGGAACTCTTGTGAATAAAGATACTGCCTACACTTGCAGAGTCACTACCGGATCTTTACCTGATTCCAGCCACTCGGATAGCACCGTCAATCTTAACGTATACGGTATGTTCTTAAATGCTAACAGTCATCTTGCATTACGGTTTTTTAATGTCAGTACTAATTTTTATCTTACAGCCTAAATAGAATTTATTTTACAAAAAATGCTTCAGATGTTGAATCAGTACACAAAGAAGTGAAGAAGGGCTCAGATACAACCATATCCTGTGTTATCACTGGATTGACAGAAACAGCAACAGTGACCTGGCGAACTAGTACTGGACCAGTTCCAGCTGAAAAGTTCACCCATGTTCATGGAAGCCAATCCGGAGGGACTCAGACATCAACTCTTGCTGTTGACGGAACTCTTGTGAATAAAGATACTGCCTACACTTGCAGAGTCACTACCGGATCTTTACCTGATTCCAGCCACTCGGATAGCACCGTCAATCTTAACGTATACGGTATGTTCTTAAACGCTAACAGTCATCTTGCATTACGGTTTTTTTGATGTCAGTACTCATTTTTATCTCAGAGCCAAAAATCCAAATGCTTTACAAAAATGTATTTCAGACGTTGAATCAGTACACAAAGATGTGAAGAAGGGCTCAGATACAACTATATCCTGTGTTATCACTGGATTGACAGAAACAGCAACAGTGACCTGGCGAACTAGTACTGGACCAGTTCCAGCTGAAAAGTTCACCCATGTTCAAGGAAGCCAATCCGGAGGGACTCAGACATCAACTCTTGCTGTTGACGGAACTCTTGTGAATAAAGATACTGCCTACACTTGCAGAGTCACTACCGGATCTTTACCTGATTCCAGCCACTCGGATAGCACCGTCAATCTTAACGTATACGGTATGTTCTTAAATGCTAACAGTCATCTTGCATTACGGTTTTTTAATGTCAGTACTAATTTTTATCTTACAGCCTAAATAGAATTTATTTTACAAAAAATGCTTCAGATGTTGAATCAGTACACAAAGAAGTGAAGAAGGGCTCAGATACAACCATATCCTGTGTTATCACTGGATTGACAGAAACAGCATCAGTGACCTGGCGAACTAGTACTGGACCAGTTCCAGCTGAAAAGTTCACCCATGTTCATGGAAGCCAATCCGGAGGGACTCAGACATCAACTCTTGCTGTTGACGGAACTCTTGTGAATGGAAATACTGCCTACACTTGCAGAGTCACTACCGGATCTTTACCTGATTCCAGCCACTCGGATAGCACCGTCAATCTTAACGTATACGGTATGTTCTTAAACGCTAACAGTCATCTTGCATTACGGTTTTTTTGATGTCAGTACTCATTTTTATCTCAGAGCCAAAAATCCAAATGCTTTACAAAAATGTATTTCAGACGTTGAATCAGTACACAAAGATGTGAAGAAGGGCTCAGATACAACTATATCCTGTGTTATCACTGGATTGACAGAAACAGCAACAGTGACCTGGCGAACTAGTACTGGACCAGTTCCAGCTGAAAAGTTCACCCATGTTCAAGGAAGCCAATCCGGAGGGACTCAGACATCAACTCTTGCTGTTGACGGAACTCTTGTGAATAAAGATACTGCCTACACTTGCAGAGTCACTTCCGGATCTTTACCTGATTCCAGCCACTCGGATACCACCGTCAATCTTAACGTATACGGTATGTTCTTAAATGCTAACAGTCATCTTGCATTACGGTTTTTTTTGATGTCAGTACTAATTTTTATCTCAGAGCCAAAAATCCAAATGCTTTACAAAAATGTATTTCAGACGTTGAATCAGTACACAAAGATGTGAAGAAGGGCTCAGATACAACTATATCCTGTGTTATCACTGGATTAACAGAAACAGCAACAGTGACCTGGCGAACTAGTACTGGACCAGTTCCAGCTGAAAAGTTCACCCATGTTCAAGGAAGCCAATCCGGAGGGACTCAGACATCAACTCTTGCTGTTGACGGAACTCTTGTGAATGAAGATACTGCCTACACTTGCAGAGTCACTTCCGGATCTTTACCTGATTCCAGCCACTCGGATACCACCGTCAATCTTAACGTATACGGTATGTTCTTAAATGCTAACAGTCATCTTGCATTACGGTTTTTTAATGTCAGTACTAATTTTTATCTTACAGCCTAAATTGAATTTATTTTACAAAAAATGCTTCAGATGTTGAATCAGTACACAAAGAAGTGAAGAAGGGCTCAGATACAACCATATCCTGTGTTATCACTGGATTGACAGAAACAGCAACAGTGCCCTGGCGAACTAGTACTGGACCAGTTCCAACTGAAAAGTTTACTTCTGTTCAAGGAAGCCAATCCGGAGGGACTCAGACATCAACTGTTGCTGTTGACGGAACTCTTGTGAATGAATATACTGCCTACACTTGCAGAGTCACTTCCGGATCTTTACCTGATTCCAGCCACTCGGATACCACTGTCAATCTTAACGTTTACGGTATGTTCTTAAATGCTAACAGTCATCTTGCATTACGGTTTTTTAATGTCAGTACTAATTTTTATCTTACAGCCTAAATTGAATTTATTTTACAAAAAATGCTTCAGATGTTGAATCAGTACACAAAGAAGTGAAGAAGGGCTCAGATACAACCATATCCTGTGTTATCACTGGATTGACAGAAACAGCAACAGTGACCTGGCGAACTAGTACAGGACCAGTTCCAACTGAAAAGTTTACTTCTGTTCAAGGAAGCCAATCCGGAGGGACTCAGACATCAACTCTTGCTGTTGACGGAACTCTTTTGAATGAAGATACTTCCTACACTTGCAGAGTCACTACCGGATCTTTACCTGATTCCAGCCACTCGGATAGCACCGTCAATCTTAACGTATACGGTATGTGCTTAAACGCTAACAGTCATCTTGCATTACGGTTTTTTTGATGTCAGTAATAATTTTTATCTCAGAGCCAAAAATCCAAATGCTTTACAAAAATGTATTTCAGACGTTGAATCAGTACACAAAGAAGTGAAGAAGGGCTCAGATACAACCATATCCTGTGTTATCACTGGATTGACAGAAACAGCAACAGTGACCTGGCGAACAAGTACAGGACCAGTTCCAACTAAAAAGTTTACTTCTGTTCAAGGAAGCCAATCCGGAGGGACTCAGACATCAACTCTTGCTGTTGACGGAAATCTTGTGAATGAAAATACTGCCTACACTTGCAGAGTCACTTCCGGATCTTTACCTGATTCCAGCCACTCGGATACCACTGTCAATCTTAACGTTTACGGTATGTTCTTAAATGCTAACAGTCATCTTGCATTACGGTTTTTTAATGTCAGTACTAATTTTTATCTTACAGCCTAAATTGAATTTATTTTACAAAAAATGCTTCAGATGTTGAATCAGTACACAAAGAAGTGAAGAAGGGCTCAGATACAACCATATCCTGTGTTATCACTGGATTGACAGAAACAGCAACAGTGACCTGGCGAACTAGTACAGGACCAGTTCCAACTGAAAAGTTTACTTCTGTTCAAGGAAGCCAATCCGGAGGGACTCAGACATCAACTCTTGCTGTTGACGGAACTCTTTTGAATGAAGATACTTCCTACACTTGCAGAGTCACTACCGGATCTTTACCTGATTCCAGCCACTCGGATAGCACCGTCAATCTTAACGTATACGGTATGTGCTTAAACGCTAACAGTCATCTTGCATTACGGTTTTTTTGATGTCAGTACTAATTTTTATCTCAGAGCCAAAAATCCAAATGCTTTACAAAAATGTATTTCAGACGTTGAATCAGTACACAAAGAAGTGAAGAAGGGCTCAGATACAACCATATCCTGTGTTATCACTGGATTGACAGAAACAGCAACAGTGACCTGGCGAACTAGTACAGGACCAGTTCCAACTAAAAAGTTTACTTCTGTTCAAGGAAGCCAATCCGGAGGGACTCAGACATCAACTCTTGCTGTTGAGGGAACTTTAGTGAATGAAGATACTGCTTACACTTGCAGAGTTACTTCCGGATCTTTACCTGATTCCGGCCAATCAGATACTACCGTCAATCTGAACGTATACGGTATGTTCTTAAACGCTAACAGTCATCTTGCATTACGGTTTTTTTGATGTCAGTACTAATTTTTATCTCAGATCCAAAAATCCAAATGTTTTACAAAAATGTATTTCAGACGTTGAACCAGTTAACAAAGAAGTGAAGAAGGGCTCAGATACAACCATATCCTGTGTTATCACTGGATTGACAGAAACAGCAACAGTGACCTGGCGAACTAGTACAGGACCAGTTCCAGCTGAAAAGTTCACCCATGTTCATGGAAGCCAATCCGGAGGGACTCAGACATCAACTCTTGCTGTTGAGGGAACTTTAGTGAATGAAGATCATGCCTACACTTGCAGAGTCACTTCCGGATCTTTACCTGATTCCAGCCACTCGGATACCACCGTCAATCTTAATGTTTATGGTATGTTCTTGTAGTCATGTTACATACTGTTTTTTAATTTCAGTTCTAATGTTTATCTCAGAGCCAAAAATCGAAATGTTTTACTAAAACTTACTTCAGACGTTCAATCTGTAAACAAAGAAGTGAAGAAGGGCTCAGACACAACCATATCCTGTGTTATCACTGGATTGACAGAAACAGCAACAGTGACCTGGCGAACTAGTACAGGACCAGTTCCAACTGAAAAGTTCACCGCTGCTGTTCAAGGAAACCACTCTGGGGGGACACAAACATCAACTCTTGCTGTAAACGGAACTCTTGTGAATGAAGATACTGCCTACACTTGCAGAGTCACTTCTGGATCCTTACCTGATTCCAGCCACTCGGACACCACTGTCAATCTTAACGTTTACGGTACGTTAACTTGTAATATAAATTGTTTGAATGATTGTTTTTTATCAGATTGCTTCATCTAATGTTATTTTGCTTCATCTTATGCACTGAATCTGGGAGGATGTTAAGTGATGAGGCCCAAGTTATATTCATCCAAATAAAATGAAATATAACCAATTAAATAAACAAATCACATTGCAGATGTCACAACTACAGACAAACACGTACATCACGGTAAAGACAACATCATCTCCTGTAAAATTACTGGAATTTCTGTTAATGCTACGGTGAGTTGGATGGAGGGAGGCCAAACATTTCAAGGATCCACTGAACGGGAGCTGACTGGGAATATCCTGATCTCTACTCTGACTGTTAACGACCCACGAGAAGATATAGAGTACACTTGTGTGGTAAAAGTTGAACAAAACTTTCCGTCTGAGACGAAATTGATGCTTAATGTCTACAGTGAGTTTTAATCTGATTAATATAGTAAAATAGTACTATGTAAGCTATAATCAGGCCAGGGTTATTAAGATTCTAGTTCACGAATAATCGACGTTCTTGTGAGTGGTATTGGTAGGCATTTACCGAATTTTATGACTTTACACATGACTTTACACATTGTCATCACGTGTCAGAAAAAGTTTGGTTCGTTCCCTCATATATTTACCATCAATATCCAGGTCAAATGATTTTTTGTCATCATTTCACTCGCAGGAAAATGTACGAGCGAAGATCAGGAGGAAGAATGGTGGAATGTGACGAATAAACTAACAGTTTTGACGGTGCCTAAATTGCCAGTACAAAACGGAACGAAAATAACCTTTAAATGCCCGAGGAAATACCTGAACAAGGGAGGAAGTGGAGCGATTTGCCATAACAAAACTCTTGTTCTGACCGGAGAACCTCCAAATTGTTTCAAAACAGGTCGGTTTTTATTTCAATCGTTCAATATGTTAGACATATGTCTCGTTAGACCGCTGACCGAGTTTGAGTATATGAAACAAGGTAAATAACTGGTAAAATTGTATAAAATAATCGACGTTTTGGCACTAATTAGTTTTTACTAAAACTACTGAGTACAAAATACAGACAATATGTTAGATTTTAATATTGATGTTGACCTACAAAAAGCTATGAAATGTTTCCTTCTAATCTTTTGGGAAAATGATTAGATCGAAACAAGTTCGTATGCTTTATAATTGACAGACAACTTGGTAACTTATTCATGTATAATAAATTTAATGATAAATTTATATTCGGATCTTTATATCATAACTTATATTGAAATTGAAATTGCATTTGCAATCCTATTTTTGATAGTTTTTAAATACCTTTGAAACAATTACCCACTGTTCCTAACAACACCGTCAAACACTGGATACAAGATACCTGGACAATAAACAATGAACTCTGCATTCCTCGGATACTCTGATATGAGGAGTGAGGACGCTATAACATAATGTCCAGAAAATCTTAAGATAACAGGCTAGTATGGGACATGTTTTTGATTTGATTTGTAATTTTCGTGGCGATCATTAAATTTAAAGACAGTTTGTATCTTTAGATTCAAACAGTACATAAGGCTATAAGGTATTGTACATGATCTCATTCAGGTGAACTGAGGTGAGACAAGTGAGACAAGGTTGTTATACACCCTGTCTCTCTGCACTGTGATACACCCTGTCTCTCTGCACTGTGATACGAGGATTATGTTAGGTTTCTTGAAGATCTGTGAGTTCAAAATTTCTTTGTAATCATCATTTGTTAAAGTTGTGTGGTATACTTTTAAAAAGTTGTATTTTCCATCCGTATTCCGCCCAATCAAACTGACATTAAAGTTAAATAAAAAGAGAGGGTACATTTATAAGACCCTCCTCCTCATTTAATACATGTTGTTACTCAGATAGGTTACGAGAGAGTTCCATCCCACTACAGGATAGTGGTTTTGATCTATTCCTTAGTAGTAAAGACCACTGCCCCCTACGAAGAAGAAGATCGAACAGTACTCGATGTCAGATATTTTATCGAGTGGTGAGTCCGAATTTCTGCCGTTTTTTTAATGTCCCAATTTATAAATAATATAATTCAGTTTATTTTATGTGACATTAAAATAGCCAGTTTATTTTCCACATAATTTGTACGTCTATAATTATGATGTGTAATCTTTCAGGTGTTGGCTGAATTAAGAGTTCAGACAAAGTCGTGAAGGAAAATATATCACATGTTAATAATACGATTCAACATGCCAAGACGGACAAAGAAATTATATGCGATGGACATTGACATTTAGTGAATATTTAGTGAGACTCAAGACTTTATTAACTGAAACAACTTTTTAAACTCCGTAGAAAATATAGCTTTTGTGACGAATCTTCTGATAGAGCCTAATTTTCAATTCGTCCTATTCGCAAAAAGGTAGTGACGCAGGTATTTGTTTTACAGTACGTTGACATTTTTTAGAGTTAGACCATTTAGACAATAGCTGAATCAGTTGATCGAGGAGAAAAAGTTAAGGAAAGCTATTAATATAAAGGACTGTTAATTTTTCAATTCATCCTATTCGCAGAAAGGTAGTGACGCAGGTATTTGTTTTACAGTACGTTGACATTTTTTAGAGTTAGACCATTTAGACAATAGCTGAATCAGTTAATCGAGGAGAAAAAGTTAAGGAAAGCTGTTAATATAAAGGACTGTTAATTTTTCAATTCATCCTATTCGCAGAAAGGTAGTGACGCAGGTATTTGTTTTACAGTACGTTGACATTTTTTAGAGTTAGACCATTTAGACAATAGCTGAATCAGTTGATCGAGGAGAAAAAGTTAAGGAAAGCTGTTAATATAAAGGACTGTTATTTCAAATATATCCAGTCTTAAAATGACGTGATATAATATTTTAAATTTCTCAAGAACAGGAATTATGTTGCAATCCCATAGTAAGGAGCGATGTCAAAAAAATTAGTTAATTAATGTGCTTTTTATCTAACAAAGAGGTGAAGTAATTTTGTCCCTCTTTTGGTTTCAATTTAAAGGAGTAATTGCTGTATTTTAAATCCTTGTTGTTTGAAGAAAATGTCCTATTACAGTATTTTGAATGATTTTGATATACGTTTAAATAGTTATACACTAATCTCACGATTAGTCAGCTAGTTCAGGTATTTATTATTAACTTTTAAAGCGAGGCAATTCAAAGTTTTGGGAGAACTTGCCGAAATATTTTATATTGTCTAATAATTGTTGACTGATTTTAACTTAATGATATATATTAATAATAATAACTTAATAACAGAATAGATCCTGCAAATTTCATTTGTTCAAGTTATTATAATTAAAAAAAACACATAAATATTAACAGTTTTTACAAATTTCTTTTATTAAAAATAAATCATGAATAATGTAAAATTAACTTTCTTACTATCGCGAATTATAAAACAACTGTAAAATAACTAACAGTATGACTCAAATCTTTTCCGTCCCAATTAACATTTAATTAACGTATCCAATTAACAAATAATAAACATCTCGAACTCCAAACCCCAGGGCCGCCACGTAACCTTTCACTTGCAACAACTGACCAGGTTTATACTGACTTACTGATATATCAGAAGATCGTTTACATAATACGTAAGCCAGATTTGACACACTTTATACCTCCCTCTGTACACCACACGTAGCTACTGTGTACCAATCACACTTCCATAATCATTTCCAAGCTCCCTCCACCCTCATAATATGTGAACATAATATGATTCTTTTAGGTAATATGGTTATGATTATGTGAACAATTAAATCCCACATGGTTGACAAGTTTACATGTCCTAATATGGTAATATAAAGTAACACATGGCAGTAACCTGGAGAAAAGTCTCCAACTCCAACATGTACACTGTCTAATTATAACTGGTACGAGTGTGTTACTGTACAAGCATTTTACAGGATAATCAAGTCTTCTGTTGTAGTTTATCATTTTGGTTCGATATATTTTATTATCCTCAAGATATGAGGCTTTTTGTGGTTTTGTTGTTTGTGATATCTGCAGCTCTTGCAGTGCCTGTTGTTATCAAAACGGTTGAAACTGAAAGTGGGGGAAAAGAACCGACCGTTGAAGTTGAAGAACATGAATTTACATCTGAAACTGAAATAGCCATTCCTTCTCTCGAAACTGAAACGACCGTTGAAGACGAAGAGGATGAATTAGAAATTCCTGCTGTTGAAACTACGGAATCTGAACCAGCTAAAGAAGAGATACCAGCAGCCGCTAAACCAGCAGCAGCCGCCGCTAAACCAGCAGCAGCAGCCGCTAAACCAGCAGCAGCAGCCGCTAAACCAGCAGCAGCAGCCGCTAAACCAGCAGCAGCAGCCGCTAAACCAGCAGCCGCCGCCGCTAAACCAGCAGCGGCAGCCGCTAAACCAGCAGCAGCCGCTAAACCAGCAGCAGCAGCCGCTAAACCAGCAGCCGCCGCCGCTAAACCAGCAGCAGCCGCCGCTAAACCAGCAGCAGCAGCCGCTAAACCAGCCGAGGGTAAACCAGCCGAGGCTAAACCATCCGATGCTAAACCAGAAAAGAAGAAATCAGTGGAGGCGATAGAAGGAAACAAAATAGTTGAACAGATAAAAACATCTTCCAAGAAGCTGGAGGAGGAGCACAAGAAGAGAACACACAAAGTGAACCCTGTTACAGTTGGGTGCTACAGTGCTGTTATAAGCAATCTTATCACCCTCTGCTTCATCATCCTAGTCGCAGTTGTGTGGTAGGTTATATGCCCATTGTTGGTTCATTTTTGTCACAATCATGCCAAATTAACATTAATACTACCTTATTTTCCAGGTATTACCACCTTATTTCCCAGGTATTACCACCTTATTTCCCAGGTATTACCACCTTATTTTCCAGGTATTACCACATTATTTACCAGGTATTACCACCTTATTTGATATTTCCCAGGTATTACCACCTTATTTTCCAGGTATTACCACATTATTTACCAGGTATTACCACCTTATTTGATATTTCCCAGGTATTACCACCTTATTTTCAAGGTATTACCACATTATTTACCAGGTATTACCACCTTATTTGAACCACCTTATTTTCTAGGTATTACTTCCTTATTTCCCAGGTATTACCACCTTATTTCCCAGGTATTACCATCTTATTTTCCAGGTATTACCACCTTATTTTCCAGGTATTACCACCTTATTTCCCAGGCATTACCACCTTATTTCCCAGGTATTACCACCTTATTTCCCAGGTATTACCACATTATTTACCAGGTATTACCACCTTATTTGATATTTCCCAGGTATTACCACCTTATTTCCCAGGTATTACCACCTTATTTTCCAGGTATTTCGGCTGCATCCGTCACGGAAGGTGCTGCTGTATGTGCTGCTACAATAAAGCTGGCAGGTGCTGCTGTGCTAGTTCCTGTTGTGACGGTTATATCCAACAGGAGGACGAGCAGATGATCATTTGTAAGTTTCTAAAAATGTTATAATGTTATGTATAATGTGAAAAATGAATATTTCGTTTTACTGCAGACCCCACTTTATAACCGTAAATCATTATTTATCACTGATCACGGTTGTTTTATTTCTACAAACTGATCCACGTTAAACTGAGGTTTTTGTTACTTGTTTTACTTTTTAATTTATGCCTATCTTACTCTTTAAAGTACATATTTAACTTATTTTATAATAACTTAACAATTATGATGACTTGATAACTATTATAATTAAATAATTTCTGGTTTATTAAACTAATTATCTAATTTATCTTTATAAACATTCCAGCAAGGGGAGGTGAGGACAATCCAGCATACGATAGCATTGAAAAAACAGCATAAAGAAATCCTGATAAGAAAGACTAAATGTTGATGAAAATTTTAGCTTCCAAAAGATGTGGGCGTGGATTAAAATAATTTCCAATTTCGTCAGATATATTTGCATCATGTATCCGGTAAAATTTCCTTAATATTAGGACAGTGTTGAATTAAAATATTTGGGGTAATAAACTATTTAGTCCCAGTTCGACTTAAGGTTTTCGAACCTTTGAGTGTTCACATGAATGTCCGGTTAGAAATATGTCTGTTTACGTAATGTACCGGTCAAATTACGTGAGGTAGCTATTTTGTGAAGATTGATCATCCTTTACATGCACTGTCAAGTTTATTCCAATTGTACAATATTTTATCATCTCATACGGAAGAAAATGTTCACGTATGTAATTGTTGTATTTACCATTATTAATTACCCCAGCATCCCTTTATCACCGTCTCTCAATCGTTCAATTGGCTGTGACTGTAACTGTCAGTCCAGCATCTAAAGTAAACCAAGTAAAGCCGTGTTTGACACGATGACCTAAAAGTAAAAGTATCCTAGACTAAGACCAAATCCGGTCGTTGTGATTGGAACTGTGAACGAAATTTAAGGCGATTAATAAATGCTTCTCCATGAATCAAATCCCCCTAAAACCCATCCGGCTGTCGTCAGGCCATAGGCCCAGAACACAGCTGCCCCGTGAACCCTCGTGTCGTAACCGGTCTACAAGTACCAGGCCCTGCAGTAGATCCCTAGAGTGGAGCCTAACACAAGTACGGAGACTCGACACACTGTAAGTGTAATGGTAACGAGATCTAAACATTACTTTTCCGTCCTTATATCAGCCATATGGTAGTGACCAACGCAGAATAATGTTTATTTCTTTATTACATTGAGCTGCTGCAATAATGATTGAATTTTGTGAGTAAGGTACCAACTGCAATATTACATATAGTTCTAATTTCTGTTTGACTTCATCTTATCAAATTTTAAATTTTCAGGAATGTTCAATTTTTATTAATATATCAATGAAAGGTCTTGTTTTAATCATGAACCCAGGTGCCGGGGTGCCTGTAGTCTTACTAATTACACAATAAATTACACTAATAAGTATTATACAATTAGTATAGCCTCTAATTAAGACAATAGGTCTCCTGGTCCTGTAGCCGAGGTACTGCGTGGAAGATATCCTCTCTCTTGTTTATATGACCTTGTATCATTTTGTTATATCAGTCAGTTCTACTTTATGATCTTTAGATCTTGTGTCTCTTGACAGTGACTAGCACCTTAAAAGCTTAAGGTACTGAACCACACTAAGCCACGCAAACGGACATTATTTTACTATTCACGGATTTTTGTAACGTATTTTTATTATTGAGTTATTCATATT